GTCGAGCCCTGTGTCAGGCTCCATGCTGAGCATGGAGCTTGCTTGAGCTTCTCTCTCTCTCTCTCTCTCTCTCTCTGTACCCTTCCCCCGACTCATGCTCTTGCTAGCTCTCTCTCAATAAAATAAAATAAAATAAAATAAAATAAAATAAAATAAAATAAAACTCATTGGATGGGGTCAACGACAGAATAGAGAGGACAGACGAAAGAATTAGTGCTTAGAGATAGAAAAATTACAATCTGAACAACAGAAAGAAAATAGAATAAAAACATAAAATTTAAAATAAAAACATAACTTAAACCCTAACATATCAATAATAACATTAAATATAAATGGTCTGAATACACCAAATAAAAGACAGAGGCTGGCAGAGTCAATTAAAAAGCATGACTTAACTCTATGGTGAAGGTCACTTTGCTGAGTGAAAAAAAGCCAATCTCAAAAGGTGATATACCAAACGATTCCATTTATATAACCTAAAAAATGCCAAAATTATGAAAATACAAAGCAGATTAGCTGCTGCCGGGGGTTAGGGATGGTGGGGAGGGACTGGGTATGACTATAAAGGGAGATCTTTACGATGACGCCACAGTTCTGCGTCTTGACTCTGATGGTGGTTACATGAATCTACACTCATGATAAAATGACATTCGACTGTATACACACATTGCAGCAATGTCAGTTTCCTAGTTTTGACATTGTTCCATAGTTATGTAAGGTATAATCACTGAGTAAAGGGTATCTGAGATTTCTGTGTACTATTTTTGCAACTTCCTGTGCATTTTTAATTTTTTTCAAAATAAAAAACCTATTAAGCACTTGTTTTGCCAAGTTTTGACATCAAGGACGAACAAAATACAGATTTAGAAAATCCTGCCACTTTATAATCCTTTTAAGGGAGTGGGTAAGACTCAAATATGTTAAAGATACAAATAGCAACAAAAAAGGGTTGCAGCTATATGAGTAGTTCTGGGGTTGCAAAGTCCAAGAGCACCAAGCCCCAAGTATTGAGTCTTTAGAATAACAATTCAAAATGATAACTATTGAAAAAACAGCCTTAGTTCAATGTCAAATTTATGCAGTCAAGGTGAAAAGCAGAGTATACCCACTAGTGGATCAAAAGGGCTTGCTCCACCCAGAACAACCCTCAGTTTTCTGCATGAAAAATTATCTAAAATAGATCTCACCACATACAACACTCATCTGCTAAGTGGCAAGTCTTTTCCATAACTGATCGCCACTGGTCCACCCAGGTCACTTGCCAACCTGAATAATAGGGTGTAAGCCTGGGCACAGGCCCTAGTCACAAGGCCAGCTGCCCATGTTCTGGGAGGACCTCCAGGGGCACACACCTTAGGCAGACCCTCCCTAACACAGAGCAATCCATCACTTCCCAAATGACCTTCCTCCCGTATTTTAGTGAGACTGATGTTACCAAGATCTCATTTTTCCTGGCCCTGAGCCAGTAGAAACTTTTGTTCTTTGTTTACCCATGTTTGTTTGTTTGTGTGTTTTTTACAAATTAAAAGTAATTTATTATGTAATATTCTGTGCCTGCAATGGAATATGTGCAATATACATAAGCCCACCGGCAAACATAAGGTCCCAACATTGACAATATAATTGAAATTAGTTGTGCCCTCCTCCCCAATATCCATTCTCCTGCCTTCTCCTCAAACGTAACCACTTTCCTGAATTTTGTCTTTATCATACCCTGTTTTTATTTCTTTTTTAAATGTTTATTTTGAGAGAGCACGCAAGAGAGTGTAAGTGGAGAGGGACAGAGAGGGAGAGGGAGAGAATCTCAAGGAGGCTCTGCACTGTTAGCCCAGAGACAGCACAAGGCTCGATCCTATGAACTGTGAGATCATGACCTGAGCCAAAATCCAGAATCAGACGTTTAATAAACTGAGCCCCCCAGGAGCCCCTATCATACCCTTGTTTTTTAAAAACAGTTGACTGCAATGTAGTTTTCCCCAAACAATATTTGCTCAGTTCTGCTTATTTTTGAAAATATGGACAGTGCTTTTATGAACAGTCTTATACATGTCTCCGATGCACACTTGCAAGAGTTTCTTGAGGGTACACACCCAGGAGTGGGACTGCTGGGCCACAGAAATGTCATCATTACCTGTGCTACACATGCTAAGTTATTTTCCAATGAAACTGTGCTATTTTACAGTCCCACTAGTAGTATACAAGATTCTGTTTTTCCACATCCACGCCAACATTTGGTATTATCAGACTTCATAATTTTTTGTCCATCTAGTGGATTTAAAATGATATCTCACTATGATCTTAATTTGTATTTCCCCGATTACTAACAATGTAGAGAATCTTTTTGTATCTTGAATTGTCATCTATATTTATTTTTGTGAATTACATCATGTTTTCTGGACTTTTTTTTTTTTAATAGGTTGCAGGCATGCATTATATATTCTGGATCCTATTTCTTTGTCAGATGTGGTGTCAAGATTTTCTCAGAGTTTGTGGCTGATCTTTTTACTGTCTTTATGATGTTTCCAGTAAGCAAAAGTTATTAATTTTAATGAAGTGAAACTTATTCATCTTTTCCTTTTTAGTTTGTGCTTTTTGTCTTTCATCCCCATAGAGAAGGAAGAATTCATTGTGAAAGGGAAAACTTGAAATCGTTTAGAAGAAAAAATGGCAGAATGGCCTTTGTGACCTTTGGGGAGAGAATGATTTCTTAAACAAGACCCCGAAAGTGCTTATCATAAGTCATTGCTGTGTTAACAAACATTTTTAAGGATTGTTAGAATAAATCAGGAAGATAAGCTGAGCCCTCGCCACTTTTATTTTCCCCGGAGAACCACAGCCATGTGCACTGCTGTTGAAGGGGTGGTCTCAGAGCAAAGGGCTGTTGGTGCAGCCCCGAGGACTGGCCTCTGTCCCATCCCTGCCACCTCGAGGCCACCGCCTTCCCAGAAGGGAGGCACAGGGATCTGCAGCAGTTTCTTCACCTTTAGTTCTTTTTTGTTACTAGTGCTGATGGGGGTCTGTTTCCGCTAATCTTAACTGTGGCAAAATGCTCCAGGATGTCTATTCTTCTGGTTACATATGGAATTTCCTGGACTTCAGTTGATTGCTTGGGATGGGGGCTGATTAGATGCAGCTATTTCCAGGCATCCTTGCCTTTTCTTTCCTGAAAAACCATTGTGTTTGTAACATATTTTTAGGTGGGGCTACATTATTCACATACATTTTCTTTTCTTTTTCACTAGTTTCCAATCGAAGTTTTCTTCCAGATAAAAACCACACTAGCATCGAGGGCTACTTTCAACAGTCCTATTCTTTGTAATACTATTTATATAGTCCTTGTAATACTGTACTTTAACATACTTGTGATTTTAAGGCCCATTTTTTTCCTGCGTGATCTCATAAGGCTTCCCTCAATCCCCCTCATCACCCCCTGCTCCGTTCCCATATATCTATTTATGGATCATTATCCTCTCTTCTCCATCAACATCTTCTCAGCATAGCTGAATGCTCCAGGGAGACTGGGCTGGTGTGAGGTTCTGCCATGATGAATGGGTTTCTTTTCACTCTTCAGTAATGAGCTGGCTTCTACTAAGGGCACCTAATTTCTTGGTAGCTACTTCGAGTAAGTAGATTAGGTTACCAGTGTTACTGCTTATCTCATTCTAGAATCAATGATCCAATTCACAGGCTCACCACCTATAAATCTGGGGAAACTATTACACAGAAGTCCTAGTAATTGATTAGTGGGCATTTTCTGAAATGAATCATTTACAAGACAAAGCCTTGGTTCCCAGCCTATTTCTGAGGCAATTAGGACCTAATGAGTTGCTTATTTGTTGACTGTTTGATTATGTAACCATTGATTCTGGTATAATATCTGAATCTTATACCTCGTTTCTCAGGGTTTTGACCACCAGCTCTTCCTCATTTCTTTTTCCTGTACTTCTTTCTGAAGCCTTCTCATAGAGATGCCCCGTCTGTGGCACAGGAGATCCTTAATTTCCATCTATCTGTTCATTTTGATGGCACTGAGATGTCATGGCCGTTGGGATTCTTGAAAGAAATCACAGCCAGGATGTGCCTCCTTTTGCTTATCTTCCCAGGACCAGTTGACCATATCAGAGAAAAAGGCTGAAGGGAGGCATAGGCAGAGAACACACAGAATGCCCTGCCCCTCCTCCCAAGACCTGTATGGTAATGCAGCCAACAGAGAACTGCTGTTCTCCACCATCAGGGAGATGGCCATGAGGCCGAAATCCTTGTTTTTCCAATCAGATAAGCATACGGTATTTACACTTTTGTGTATGCCAGGCGCTAAATTATAGACCGTGCCTTAAAATCTGAGTGGGACAGGAAGTCAGATCATTGCTTCCATACACTGGAGCACTTTCTGGGAACGAGGTCATTTGCACTAAGAGTTTCACCTACACCATCTTATTTAATCTTATTAGCATCATCTGTCCTCGGTGTTATCATCCATATGAGAAACCCGAGGCAGAGAAAGGTTGGGTACATTTTCTAGGTCGTTCAACTAATAAGTGAAGCAATTCAATTCAAACATAGACTTAGCTAACTCAAGAGGGTGCTTTTCACCACTACACCACACTGTCTCCCTCTTTAAAAAAGAAATGATAGGCCAGAACTACATGACACTAAGTAAAAGGAGGTTTCTCACAGAAAGGAGAGTTCTCCGTAGGCTAGAGTAGTCACGGGCTATCGGGTAGAAGGGAGGTGTCCATAGAGAACATCTAACCCCAGATTTCTCAAACACTTTTTTAAATCTTTTTTTTTT